ATAGAATAGAATAGAATAGAATAGAATAAATATAGAATAGAATAGAAATAAGAAAAGAATAGAATAGAATAGAATAGAATAAATATAGAATAGAATAGAATAGAATAGAATAAATATAGAATAGAATAGAAATAAGAATAGAATAGAATAGAATAAATATAGAATAGAATAGAATAGAATAGAATAAATATAGAATAGAATAGAATAGAATAGAATAGAATAGAATAGAATAAATATAGAATAGAATAGAATAGAATAGAATAGAATAGAATAAATATAGAATAGAATAGAATAGAATAGAATAGAATAGAATCTTCTTCTTGTGCCATGTCCGTTGTTGGACGTTGGCGATCATGTTGGTGATCCTGTTTTTATCAGCAGCCGCACAAAAAAGTGCTGCTGAGTTTTGTCCAAACCAGTCCCTTAGATTTTGAAGACACGATGTTCTTCTTCTGCCTGGACCTCGTTTGCCTTCAATCTTTCCCTGGAGGATTAAATGGAGTAGGCCGTATTTTTCTGGCTGTCACATCACATGTCCGAAATATTCTAATTTTTGTTTTTTAATTGTTTCGATGATTTCCCTTGGCTTTCCCAGGTGGCTGATCATCTCCTCATTTCTGATCTTGTCAACCCAGCTTATACGTAATAACAGCCGCCTGTAAATCCACATTTCAATTGCTTCTAGTCTCTTCAGGTGGCCTTCTGTCAGAGACCAACTCTCTACTCCATAGAGCAGGATAGAATAGAATAGAATAGAATAGAATAGAATAGAATAGAATAGAATAGAATAATAAAATACAGAATAGAATAGAATAGAATAGAATAGAATAGAATAGAATAGAATAGAATAGAATAGAATAGAATAAGGGATATAATAGACTAGAATAGAATAGAATAATAAAATACAGACTAGACTAGAATAGAATAGAATAGAATAGACTAGACTAGACTAGAATAATAAAATACAGACTAGACTAGACTAGACTAGAATAATAAAATACAGAATAGAATAGAATAGAATAGAATAGAATAGAATAAGGGATAGAATAGACTAGACTAGACTAGAATAGAATAGAATAATAAAAGACAGACTAGACTAGAATAGAATGGAATAGAATAATAAAATACAGAATAGAATAGAATAGAATAGAATAATAAAATACAGAATAGAATAGAATAGAATAGAATAAGGGATATAATAGACTAGACTAGACTAGAATAATAAAATACAGACTAGCCTAGACTAGCCTAGACTAGAATAGAATAGACTAGACTAGACTAGACTAGACTAGAATAGAATAATAAAATACAGACTAGACTAGAATAGAATAGAATAATAAAATACAGAATAGACTAGACTAGACTAGACTAGACTAGACTAGACTAGACTAGACTAGAATAGAATAGAATAGAATAGAATAGAATAGAATAGAATAAGGGATAGAATAGACTAGAATAGAATAGAATAGAATAGAATAATAAAAGACAGACTAGACTAGACTAGAATAGAATGGAATAGAATAATAAAATACAGAATAGAATAGAATAGAATAGAATAGAATAGAATAGAATAGAATAGAATAGAATAGACTTGGATTCGATTCGATTCAACTCAAATGTCAGCAGAAGAAGCAACGCCACCCGCCCACCAACCAAAGCTGGACGGGATTTGTCGTCCTTTTTTTAACCTCCCCTAAATTTCCACCCTCTCAGATTTTTTATTTTTAGTGATGGACACAGGCAGGCCTCCACTTACAACCACATTTCTTTTTTTCTTCTCCTTTTTTTATAATATTTTATTAATTTTCCAATTTTCCATTTGAAGATTTAAAAAGACAACGTGGTGGGCGGGTTAATCAATAGCTCAATAACAAAAATCTTAGTGCAAATCCCAGGTTACAAACCATCAAACATTTCTTCTCTTTTTCCCCCTTCACGTTTACTGTCTCATATTCAGGCGAGTGCATGTCTAGAGCGTTGTGGTAACTTTGAACGGTCACTAAGCGAATCGTCGTAACTTGAGGACCACTTATATCCCTTTCCTCGCCTATCCATCTATTTTGCTTCCACCCTGTAGGTTTTTGTGGGTGCGTCTCTGATATTTCGACGTCTCCTGCTCATGCGTTGAGGTCCTGACCCACCATGGAGACCTCAACTTAATTTTCTTTCCACCATGCCGGAGATTTTTCCTCTAGGGAATGAGAGGAAGGGCCTCAGTGAGGCAACTGGGCCAAGGTTTGTGGAAGAAGAAGAGAAGAGAGGAAGAGGAAAAACTGGAGAGGAGGAGGAGCAGGAGAAGAAGGAGGAGGATGGAGAAGAAGGAGGAGGAGGACGGCCCTTCTTCTGAGTTGCCTTGGAGGCATCTGGGTGTAACTCATACGGGGAGAAGAGCCAGTTCCGAAGCAGTTCTCTTCTTCTTCTTCTCCTCAATCCTTCCTCAAGCTTGACAGAACCTGCTTCTTTCCTCCTTCTTCTCCATCCCACCACCAGCAGGATGGACCAGAACGGATCTTCTCAGCGCCCAGCGGTGATCTACAAGGCTCAAGTGACGACGGGCCAAGGTCTTTTAACGGGGACTTTAGATTTGATCTCCGTCACCTTGGTGGGCCCCAACGGAGAAAGCCCCAAGAGGTTTCTGGACCAGATTGGGATGACCTGCTCTCAAGGATCGGTAAGAATATGGGTTCAAGTCCCAAGAGAAGGAAGTTTGGGAGATGGTACCTTAGCTCCTGGAATGGATTTTGGTCCAGAGAGAGAGAATAACAGAACAACAGAACTGGAAGGGACCTGGGAGGCCTTCTATCCCCTAGACATACCATTTCAGACACATGGTTTTCCAATCTTTTCTCAGAAATCTCCAGTGATGGAGCACCCACAACTTCTAGTGGCCAGCCGTTCCACTGGTTAATTGTTCTCCCTGTCAGGAAATTTCTCCTTAGTTCCAAGTTGCTTCTCCCCTTGATTCATTTCCATCTGTTACTTCTTGTCCTGCCTTCTGGTGGCTTTGGAGAATAAGTTGACCTCCTTACTTCTTTGTAGGAGCCCCTCAAAGACCAGGTTCAGTCTTCTCAAGAGGGACCAGGTTCAATCTTCTCAAGTGGGATCAGGTTCAATCTTCTCGAGTGGGATCAGGTTTAATCTTCTCGAGTGGGATCAGGTTCAACCTTCTGAAGAGGGACCAGGTTCAGTCTTCTCGAGAGGGACCAGGTTCAATCTTCTCAAGAGGGACCAGGTTCAACCTTCTGAAGAGGGACCAGGTTCAATCTTCTCAAGAAGGACCAGGTTCAATCTTCTCAAGAGGGACCAGGTTCAACCTTCTCAAGAAGGACCAGGTTCAATCTTCTCAAGAGGGACCATGTTCAATCTTGTCAAGAAGGACCAGGTTCAATCTTGTCAAGAAGGACCAGGTTCAATCTTCTCAAGAGGGACCAGGTTCAACAGAATAACAGAGCTTCAACCTTGGGAGGGATCCAGGGTGCTATCTGAGCCTGGGTCTTAGGAGAAGCTCTTTCCATTCCAGCTTGAGGTTCTGAACAAGACGTCTGCATCTCTACGGTCGACCCATTGTCCCACCTCGGTACTGAGATGAAGCAGAGGGGTTGACCAGATGGACTGGAGATTAGATGGTTCCTCATTAAAACAGAGAAGGTTCCCCCCAATTTTTTGACCGAAGTGACAGCAACGTCCCTCCTAAAGAGACTCATCAGTGTGGCGGAAACGTTACCCCATCACCAGTGTCAAAGGTTCAGATCTTCATCCCCATTATCCATGGAGATCCTGTCCTTCCAGATCATGGTGGCTTTTCCGAAAAGGCATCTGGAATTTTCTCGGTTCTGCCTTGAAGACCTTTCGCTTCTCATCCAAGGAGCTTCGTCGGTTCTGACTTTTCGGCTCAGCCGTTTCCGTGATCCTGGGGCCTTTCGATCAGAACTGGAGAAGCTCCTTGGGTGAGAAGTGAAATGGCTTCAAAGAAAAACAAAGGAAGTCCACTTGAGAAAAGCACCTTCGGGACTTAATTACGGTCACTTAATTACGGTCACTTAATCACGGCCAATTGCCATAACCAGTTTGGTAGCAAATTTACTTCACGGGCTGTTTTTTTTTTTTTTTTTTAAGGATACAGGTTATCTGGAGCATCAGAAGAGACCTTGGAGGTCTTCTAGTCCAACCCCCTGCTCAAGCAGGAGACCTTAAACCCGTTCCAGACGAATGGTTGTCTAGCCTCTTCTTAAAACCCTCCACAACTTCTGGTGGCAAGCCGTTCCACTGGTTTAATTGTTCCCAATGTTAGGAAGTTTCTCCTTAGTTCTAGGTTGCTTCTCTCCTTGATCGGTTTCCATCCGTTGCTTCTTGTCCTGCCTTCGGGTCCTTTGGAGAATAGTTTGACTCCCTCTTCTTTGGGGCAGCCCCTGAGATACTGGAACACTGCTATCATGTCCCCCTTCGTCCTTATAATAATAATAATGAAGTTGGAAGGAACCTTGGAGGTCATCAAGTCCAACTCCCTACTCAGGCAGGAGACCCTATTCCATGTCAGGCAAATGGCCGTCCAATCTCTTCTTGAAAGCCTCCAGTGATGGAGCACCCACAACTTCTGGAGGGAAGCCGTTCCACTGGTTAATTGTCCTCACTGTTAGGAAGTTTCTCCTTAGTTCCAGGTTGCTTCTCTCCTTGATGAGTTTCCATCCGTTGCTTCTTCTCCTGCCTTCAGGCGCTTTGAAACCAATTCCAATCAGTGTCAACATCTCAATTGCTTTAGATACCTTGAGGAGATGGTGTCCTCTAGAAAAAGAAAAAGTGGAACAGAAGCCTATTATTATTATTATTAATACCACTTTACAACGCCTCGGTAAGGCCACACTTGGAATACGGCATCCAGTTTTGGTCACCACGGTATAAAAAAGATGCTGAGACTCTAGAAAGAGTGCAGAGAAGAGCAACAAAGATGATTAGGGGACTGGAGGCTAAAACATATAAGGAACGGCTGCTGGAATTGGGTATGTCTAGTTTAATGAAGAGAAGGACGAGGGGGGGACAGGATAGCAGCGTTCCAATATCTCAGGGGCTGCCCCAAAGAAGAGGGAGTCAAGCTATTCTCCAAAGCGCCTGAAGGCAGGACAAGAAGCAACGGGTGGAAACTAATCAAGGAGAGAAGCAACCTAGAACTAAGGAGAAACTTCCTGACAGTGAGAACAATTAACCAGTGGAACCACCTGCCTCCAGAAGCGGTGAATGCTCCAACACCGGAAGTTTTTAAGAAGAGACTGGACGGCCATTTGTCTGAAATGGTATAGGTTTCCTGCCTGAGCAGGGGGTTGGACTGGATGACCTCCAAGGTCTCTTCCAACATCATCATCATCATCATCATCATCATCATCATCATCATCATCATCATCATCATCATCATCATTATTATTATTATTATTATTATTATTATTATTATTATTATTATTATTATTCCTATAACTCTTGGCACCTCTTGAGAGAAGTGGACAAGGTCATTTGTTGATTTGACTGTCTGCAAAGTAACCCAAGGGGATTTCTAGCTAGGCTGTGGTGGACGTCCGTAGAAGACTCACCTTTCAGATGTGGGTCTTCCACTCCCAGAATTCCCAGCAAAGCCAGTGCTGACTAGGGAATTCTGGGAGCCGAAGTTTGCCCATCGGACGGTTGCGCAACAACGAATCCGGTTACGTCACTAGCAAGTGACTGACATCCAGGATTATCCTTCCTTCCACCAGGATGAAGCGAGCCGAGGTAGGTGTTGGGATCCAGGTTTAGAAATTGGAACACCTCACCTATGAGAGAAATATAAGTTGATGTGCAACTTGGATGAGACGGAGGTGTGGTGAGTTGCTGACTCACAAAACCTGCACAATAACTCCTTCTGGAGTTGTGGAACATTTAGCTGGGTTGACAGTGTGTGTGTAGCTTAGCTCATGGAATCTGGTCTTGGAATCCACCCGGCGTGGTCGTCAAGGAAGTTCATTGAAGGCTTCCAACCGGTTCTTGCTTAAGCTTCAATGCTTAGTCCTGATGTTGACGGTTCTTAAATGATTGAGAAGAGGGGTGTCCAATCTTTGGCAATTTTAAGACTTGTGGACTTCGACTCCCAGAATTCCCTGGCTAACCCCTTCCCTTCCCGTCCCCTCCAGGCTCAGAGAGCATCAAGGATACACAGTCGTCCTCCTCCTCCTCCTCCTCCTCCTCCTCCCTTCTAGCACTGATGATGTTCCCTAGTTGGGTTATGAAACATCTGCAAGACCACCAGGCTCAGAGAGCACAAGGACCCCACAGTCCTCCTCCTCCTCCTCCTCCTCCTCCCAAAATATTTCTGAATCCATTATTTACACTCTTAAGGGATCCGTTTTGAGAGCCTAACTAACCCAACTGGCCTCAGCTATAAATTTGTTTCATGGAGTGTCAGGAGATTTTTCCTTTAACAAAATCAGAATCCCCTCCACGGACATCATTTATATTTGGGCAATTCAGAGCTGAGAACTTTTAACTAACTCAAGGATTAAAATGTGGGGTTTTCCCAGGGGCAGCTGAGCCAAGATTTTATTCAAATGGCATGAGACACACACCAACGCAATTGACTGGACGGCCATTTGTCCGAAATGGGGTAGGGTTTCCTGCCTGAGCGGGGGGTTGGACTAGATGACCTCCAAGGTCCCTTCCAACTTTATTATTATTATTATTATTATTATTATTATTATTATTATTATTATTAGTCTGAAATGGGCTAGGGTTTCCTGCCTGAGCAGGCGGTTGGACTAGATGACCTCCAAGGTCCCTTCCAACTTTACTATTATTATTATTATTATTATTATTATTATTATTATTATTATTATTATTATTATTATTTAGTCTGAAATGGTGTAGGGTTTCCTGAGCAGGAAACTAGATGACCTCCAAGGTCCCTTCCAACATTATTATTATTATTATTATTATTATTATTATTATTATTATTATTATTATTATTATTATTATTATTATTATTATTATTCTGAAATGGTGTAGGGTTTCCTGCCTGAGTGGGGGGTTGGACTAGATGACCTCCAAGGTCCCTTCCAACTTTTTTATTATTATTATTATTATTATTATTATTAGTTTGAAATGGTGTAGGGTTTTCTGCCTGAGCGGGGTTGGACTAGATGACCTCCAAGGTCCCTTCCAACTTTACTATTATTATTATTATTATTATTATTATTATTATTATTATTAATTCCTTGGCAACAAATAATGACTTCACTGGGCAAAGGAGATCCGCTGAGATTAGGAAGCCCCTTGATCTCCTGAGTTTTGTTGGATCCCAAGTTGAGAGGAAAGGCGTCCCAAGGAAGTCAGGGGGAAACACCTGAGAACATCTGGATGGTGGAACCAAGGGCAGAGATAACCTGGGGTTGGTGTCTCTCCTCCGGAGGCGTCGCACCCAAGAGCCTGGGCCAGCTGGAATGCCGACAATCGCGGGGAAAATAAATAACCAAATCCTTTCAGAAGAGCCACAAGGATCACTTCAATTAAAACACCGCCTCTGCCGTGTGAAGAGGTGTCAGTCCCCCCCAAAAATGCTAATAATGGAGCACCCATGATCTGCAGGGCTTGGGTGGCTCTCACCATCCGGACGTTAGATATTAAGGAGATAAGAGAGAGCTGAAATTCATCTCCGTTGTTTCTGGTCCTCTTCTTTGTGGTCCCTACGCAACGGTTGCTGATTAACTTCCCTGTTAGGCTTCCCTGTAGGTATCGCAACGTGACAATTGTGTCTCAGGTAGAAGAGAATAAATGTCGGTACCTTAGGGAAGAATGGGGGGGGGGTCCTTGGTGTTCTCGGAGCAGGGGTGTTTTCTTTCAGACGTTTCGGGACCCAACTAGGGAATGTCGTCAGTGCTACAAGGGAGTGGGTTTGCGAGGAGGAGGAGGAGGAGGAGGAGGAGGAGGAGGAGGNCTCCTCCTCCTCCTCCTCCTCCTCCTCCTGCTGTGTTCTCCACAATCCCCCCTCCCTTCTATCACTGATGATGTTCCCTAGTTGGGTCATGAAACGTCTGCCAGGTTTTCAATAAACCTGGCTAAAGAAAACTCCGCGGGAATCGCAGGAGCCGGGATGGGTGTCTGGCAAAGGAGAGGAGCAGAGGTGGGTCTTTTCCCTGATTCCCTGATTCCCTTTTTTTTTAACCCTACAGCTCACAAGCCTTCGGACGACACCCACGGCCTTCAGCGGAGGCATCGCCAGGAGGAGCTGCAGCTGCAACAGCGCACATATGGGTGAGTCGGGAAGAGGGTGGACCCTTGAGCGTCGTCGTTTTAAAACTCCCGCATCCACGTTTGGGCCCACTGAGGCAAAGAGTTTCTCAAGCTGGGCCACGTGAAGATGGGTGGACTTCAGTTCTGGGAGTTGAAGCCCCCCCACCCCCATCTTAAAGAGGCCCAGGTTGTGAAAACTCGACTAGATGATCTCCAAGGTCCCTTCCAAGTCTTCCTGTCTATCAGTCTAACTCCTACGAGTCCTCCCGGCTGCCATACAACCAATTGGAGAGGATGCTGGGAGTTGTAGTTTAGAGGGAGACCTATGAGGATCTCGTTCCTGATCAAGAGAGATATATAGTATTGCCTTTCTTAAATAGTAACAATAACATTATTATTATTACTATTATTATTATTATTAGTAGTAGTAGTAGTAGTAATAATAATGGTAATAATAATACTAATAGTAATAATAGTAATAATAATAGTAATGGTAATAATAATAACAATAATACTAATAATACTAATAGTAATAATAGTAATAGTAATAATAATAACAATAACAATAACAACATTAATAATACTAATAATACTAACAATACTACTACTACTACTACTACTACTACTACTAATAATAATAATAATAATAATAAAGTTGGGAGGGACCTTGGAGGTCATCTAGTCCAACCCCCTACTCAGGCGGGAAACCCTATACCATTTCAGACAAGTGTCTGGCGCCTTCCCAAGTTCTGGGACTACAGGACCCATCACCCTAAGCCACTGGGTCAAGATGGTGTAGTAGTGGATCACCGTTTACTGCCCCAAAGCATCGCCGGAGTAACCAGAGAGCGCTTTATTCTCTCTCAATTGTTCTCGCAAAATTTATGTACCAAGCTGCGTGTTATCAACTCTGTGCGGCCTCTGGGAGTTTAGAACTCTAATGGGACAATTTCTCTGCACGCAGGTGGAAGGAATACCTGCCCAATATACCTTGGTGTGCCAACATCGACACAACGGCCACAATGGAACACAACATTACGTACTCCTTCCCTAAGGCAACGGCCTTTTTCGGACGTGGTACGACTGCGTAAGTGTTGGGGGCTGGAGGGGAGACCACTTAGAGATGCCAGGGGTGGTTGGAGAGAGAGAGAGAGAGCCTCCTGGAGAAGGCAAAAGCCCAGCACCTCAGGTTTTGTTTCCCATGTGGTCCCTAGGGATTGAACCCGAGAGAGAGAGAGAGAGAGAGAGAGAGAGAGAG